ACCCAGAGCTGTTGCACTAGGTCCTACACTCTTTATTTTATATATATATAATTTTTTTCTTTTTTTTTTGGTACCAGAGATCGAACTCGGGACCTTGCACTTGCAAGGCAGGCGGCGGAACCACTGAGCTAAATCCCCAGCCCATCCACATATATATATTTTTTTATTTCAAGACAGATTCTCGCTAAATTGCATGGTTGCCCCCAGGCTGGGTTTGAACCTGTGATCCTCCTGCCTCAGCCTCCCAGAGTGCTGGGATATCTGGTTTGTCCCACCATGCCCCGCTAAAGGATGCTTGTTCTCTGGAGACATTGTGTGGGCAGTGACTAGTGACAGCAGCCGTGGGAAGCAGGTGCAGTGCCCAGGGGTCCGAGCCTGAGAGCAGACAGAGCACTGACTAACGAGCTTCCCTGGGACTCGCCTGGCCCGTGTTTGTGCTCAGTGGCTCGGTGTCAGTCGGATCACCAACTGGGAGGACATGGATGAGTTCCGTGCCGTGTATCTCAGAGAGCGCTGTGAGACGCCAGGCATTACTTGGGTTAGGACAAGTGCAAAGTAGACCTGTGTGGAGTTTTTGCGCCTTAGTCTTTCAGATATTTAAATCCAAACAGAGCATGGTGGGGCTCACCTGTAATCCCAGCACTCAGGAGGCTGAGACAGGAGGATCACCACAAGTTCAAGGGCAGCTTGGGCTACATAGTGAGATTCTGTCTCAAAAAACCAAGAGGAGGAGGAGGGGGAGGAAAGAAAGAAAGAAAGAAAGAAAGAGAGAAAGAGAGAGAGAGAGACGACAGAGACCCAAAGGACACCGCATGAATGAGCCGATGAAGAATGACATGAACTGGCTACATGGCTGTGTAGATAAATGCAGTCGGGATTTCTGTGGTTTTAGGCTGTAAGTCCTCCCACCACCATTTAACACACAAATACATAAGCAATCACTGTAGATCTGTCTAACAAGTGCCTCGTGTCTGAAGGTGTAACATAAGCCAGCCGGGCTCTATAGAGCCCGAGTCTTTGCACGCTGTTTCAGCTGAGTGGTATGAGTCGAATCGTGATCTCCAGGGTAACCACTAAGGACAGAACTGACAAAGTACAGAAAAGGAAATGAGGAGAGAATCCAAACAGCACGCTGTAAACTTCCGCACAGAAGGAGGCAGGCTTGAGGTGTGAGGAGTGCCTACCTCCTTCCTGGATACATACACACATCAGGCTGGCCTTGAACACATGACCCTCCTGCCTCAGCCTTCTGATCAGCTGGGGTTACAGGCATGTGCTACTTACGGGATGCCCACTGTTTGAAAGATTTGTGAGTGGCCTTTTTCTATTATTTTTGACAATGTGCAAAAGGCTCCAGATGCCAGTAGACTCCCAGAGAATGGAAGCTGGCCCTGCCCAGTCATACCAGGACAGGACGTGTTAACATTAGTTTTCATGTCCTTTCGGATAACACTGGGTGTTCTGGGTGTAGTCACGCACACCTGTGGTCCCAGCAACTGGGCTGAGTCAGGATGCTCACTTGGTACAGGAGTTTGGGGCCAGCTGGGCAACATAGCAGGACATCATCTTTTAAGGAAAATCAGGTGTTATTAAGCAAAGTGTGCAGAGTACATGCCTAGTGGGCGTGCAGCCTTGGGCTGAGTCACTACCACTACGAAGGAAAAAGAAAATCGGAAAAGTGAGGCTGCTTCTGCCCATGACAGACCCCACCCCACGGGAAGCCATGGCCTGGAGAAGCCCAGGCTTCGGCCTCCCCTCTGGCCAGGGTTCAGGTTGTCACCAGCCCTCAGGAGCTCCTTTCCAGGAAGATGTGCCCCATGGTGCTGACACTGCAGGGCTCCCCGCTTCCCATCATCCTGGGTCGGAATCGTCCCAAGGGAGGAGAAGTCCTGGGATCCACTGTGGTGGGTCCAGCGAGGATCCAGGTGCGACAAGGAGCTGGTGTCAGAGTCGCCACAGCAGAGATCTGGCCCCCACAGAGGGGCAGGGTTGCCTCACCCAGGACGCCCACAGCAGGACCACTGTGCCCACACAGCCGACACCACGGCTCTGTGTGGAAGGCAGTGCCAGAATGGTGTCGAGGGCTGCCACAGTGGGCAGCCAGCTGAGACAGGAAGTGGTTAAGCCAGCTCCTGAGCAGCTTCCGGGCTGCTGACCACTGGTCCCACAGCCCGCCCTCCTCTCGGGCTGCTGGAGAGGAGGCCCCGTGCAGCCCCCAAGAGGTCACGAGTGGGCCGGCGACGCACTTCAGTGTCTGCAGCCCAGCCTCTGAGTGCCAGCAGCTCTGAGTGTAGCCACCCTCCTGCCACTTGGCATCCACAGCCAGCCTCGGGGTCCCTGTCTGTCACCAGAGACGGTGGCTCCCTCGCGGCTCCTTCACTCTCCAGCAACCTGGGGCTGCGCCACCTGCATTGTCACCAGCTCCGGCTGCTGGCTGCTTTCGCCTCCATGGCCCACGGCTCCCTGGCAGCTCTCAGGCACCAGCTCCACGTGCTGCCCTCCAGATGGCAAGCACAGCAGGCGACAACCAGAGGCTCTGCTGGGACCCTGCTGCAGCACAAGGAGGAGGAGCCCCTCCACGCTGGGCCTGCTGGTGTGGGGAGGTCATGCACAGGAAGAGGTGGATGCACATGGCTCACCTCAGTCTTCCTGTCTGGTCACAAGGAGGGGGCTGCAGGGGGCAGAGCCATCAGAGGGCTGCAGAGAAGAATTGCCTGTGAGAGACCCTGGACTAGTGCCTGCTGTGGCCAGCGAAGGTCCCCCGGCCTGGCCTGGGGTGCAGGGTGGAGCTCAGCCAGTTCCCAGAGTGTGGGAACCAGCTGACCATGGACTGAACCCTCTGAAATTGTGAGGCAAAAGAAACCTTTCCTTCTTCGTGTTGATTTAGGAGAGGGAGGGATTACCCGGGAATGCAACTCAGAGCCTCAGGCTTGCGAGGCAGATGTGGAGCCACTGAGCTACATCCCGGGCTTTCATGTTGATTTTATTAGGCATTTAGTCCAGGCACAGCTGACTGATGGTCTCATTGAGAAGGCTTTCTGGGGTTCAGTTCAACCCCTTCTTTCTGTGGTCCACTACACATGGCTGCCTCTCTCTGGGATTTGTGCCTGCTATGGTTTTCAATCTCATTTGTGGGAAATTCAAAACCTCCCTGGCCAGGCATGGTGCCACACCCCTGTAAATCCCAGCACTTGGGAGGCTGAGGCCAGAGGATCACCATGAGTTGGAGGCCAGCCTCAGTAACATAGTGAGTTCAAGGCCAGCTTGAACTACATAGCAGGACTTTGTCTCAAAAAAAAAAAATTATATATATATATATATATATATATATAAAAGTTTTTTTTTTAAATCTCCCTCGTTTGTACAAAGTTCATTCTCAAAATTCAGCAGCCTTTTTGTCAACACTGCCTAGTCGCGAGCATTGGTTATAGTGAGAGTCCACAGGATGCTACAAGTTAAGACATTTCTTCTGCATCAATATGTGCTTTCCACAGTCTGAGTTGAAACGAGATGCCCTTCGTCCCCTTGGCTGGAACCCATGTGAACAGTGGTGAGTACACAGGAGTTTCATAGTCACACACCCTGCAGGAACTGGAGACTTGTGGCTGAGAACAGTTCTGGGTACTTCAAGTAACTAGAAGAGTGTCCTCCATTGCTCAGAAGTCCCTAGTCTCTCTGGTGCTTCCTGTTTGGTGCCATTTGTGGTTTCCCCTGAGGCTAGCATCCCTCTTGAGCCTGCCCAGCCCTCACCTGTACGCTCTCCCAGAGCTGCTAGCTGAGGTCAGGGATACTTTGCTTAGCTCACCGGCCCGGGCAGGTAAGCAGAAGGTAAAGACAACTCAGGTGAGCTCCGCTGAGACTCATGGCTCCTCCTATCCATGCCCCCCTCTTTGACTTGCTCAACCAGAAAGACTACGGGAGCCCTGGCTTTTGACCATTGTCCATGGGGCTTCCTTTTTCTTTCTTTCTTTCTTTCGTACTGGAGATTAAATCTAGAGCCTTCACACTAAGCTATATCACCTCCCCCCCTTTTAGTAATTTTTATTTTGAGACAGGATCTCACTAAGTTGCCCCAGCTGGGTTTAAACTTGCAGAGGAGGAAGTTAACTGTTTTGAGGTCTCAAAAAGGCACAAATAAATAATAATATTTTAAAATATCATGCTGGGGAATGCAAATCAAAACTATGGGGTTGGGCTGGGGACTTAGCTCAGTGGTTCCACTGTGTGCCTAGAAAGCGCAAGGTCCTGAGTTCGATCCCCGGTACTAAAAACAAAACAAAACAAAAAAATTATGGGGTTGACCTGGAAGGGTTTATCTCCCTTCTTGGCTTCTCCCTCTTCCTCTGCTTCCTGTCGACAACTATGGACTAAAACAGGAGCCCAGATAAACCTCTCCTCCATTAAGGTGTGGCTGTCAGATACTGCATCCCAGCAATGAGAAAAATGAGTATGACACTAACTATTCAGCCCGAAAAAGGATAAAATATCCCTATCTGTGTCAACACGGACAGAACTGGGGACCATTACATTAAACGAAATCAACCAGGCCTGAGACAAGTACAGCACAATCTCACTCATGCATGGAATCTAAAACCCTTCATCTCCTGGAAGTTGAGTAGGAAGGTGCTTACTGGGGCCTGGTGAGACTGGAGGGGAGCTGGGTGGGGAAGGCCGATCAGGGGAGCTGAGATGCAGTCAGACGGGAGCGAGTTCTCCCATGTGCCACTGTACAGCCTGTTGACTATAATGGCGGTCTACTGTCTAGTTCAAAAATATATGAATGAAGTAAGAAGAGAGGATTCTGAATGTTTCCACCAAAAGAAGAACCCACTATTTACAGGCTAACTTGGCGGCGCGGATGACCCTACAGGTCAATGTGGCTTGCGATCTTTGCTGTGGCATTCATGGGGCTGATAGGGCAGTCACTTCCGGCGTGGAGCAAGTGCTTCCGGGGCAGGAGACGTCTGCGTGCAAAGCACCGCTGGGAGGCGACTGTTTGTATAGAGAAGCTGATTCCTTCCCCGTCCCCCTGCGAGAGTCTAGGAGACTCACAGAATAGCGTCAGTGTTCGGGACAAGAAGGGGCCTTCCAGGAGTGTGCATTTCACACCCTGCCCTCCAGGAGGGTGCAAAGAGCCTGATGTGTCTCATTGGCCAGTTCACTGAGTGAACATCGCTACTGCGACCCGATTCAGCTTTGAGGTGGTTCGCCAAGGACTTGGGGCTGGCTGTGCGTTGACAGCCAAGGGACCCGGGGAAGGAGCAGCACCCGAGGCATGCAGGGGAGGTCTGGGGATCACTGGCCCTTGTCCCGCCCACTGGGAGACCTGGAAGCCGAAGCTCACCGGTGGCTGGCAGAAGCGTGCTGCAAGGAAGAGATCATCAAAGAAAAATCTGGAAAACATTCAGGAACAATTTGCAAAAGGCACGGAATATGCGGTCCCTTTGGGGCACACGGAGCCCCTGTTGTGTATCCCACTTCTAATTCCTTAACTTGCACCTTCAGAAAAATGACAAAAGGAAGTGATCAGAACGAACTTTAAAACTCTGCTACATAGGAACTTGGAGTGGCCTGCGGAGCCTGTTCAGGCCTCGGTGGGTGTGTGCATCTTAGCACTCAGGGCACTAGGGAGCCCCGGCCACCACCTCAGGGAGCCCCTCTGCTCCTGCTCCCATCTCACTACGGATCCTAGCGCCTCCTCCTGAGGGCCACCCTGCCCCACTGAGGGCGGATCTGTCCCTGCTTGATGATGTCGGGCTGCATGGTGCTCACGCCGGTCCCCAGGGTTGCTCCCTGCCCAGGCCTGTCACCGCAGTGCGAGCGCTCCACGGAGGGCAGCGTTGCCTCAGATGTCCCGCGTCTGCTTCTCTAAGTGATACTCCGGCCACGTGGCGGCGGCCCTGGCTGCTCTGAAGGCGGTGGTCACTAACCTCAGACCTTGGGATAGTGCCTGGCGTCCCTGCTGACTTTAGGGGAAAAGCCCACCCCGTGGAGGCGCAGTTGGTCAGGACCTCGGACAGGGACCCTGGCTCCAAATCGTTATCCGCGCCTTCTCTGGTTTTTCCCTGCTTTCCTTTCCCTCTCTTCCGGGCCAGCCTTGAGCACGAAGCCTGGGAGGCGTCGCCTGGCACCTTTCACTGTTTCAGCACCCGCAGGCAGGGCCCGAGGTGGAGGCGGGGATCTGAGTCTGGCCTCACTCCGCCTAAGCTCTAGCTGTCCCTGGGGTCTCCTGCCAGACCACAACGTGGGGGCCGAGCTTGTGGGCCCCAGCTGGCCCCTCCTGAACATGCGGCTAAGCTCAGCATGGTGACACTCCTATAACCCAGCAGCACTCGGGAGCCAGAGGCTGGAGGGTTGCTAGTTTGAAGCCAGCCTGGGGAATATTGCGAGCCCCTGGCTCAAAACAAAACTAAACTAAACTAACACTGTGACTGCCTCTCTGTCGGTCCTTCTGTGCATCTGGAAGCAAGGGTGGCTGGACCACACTCTGGGATCGAGACTGATGAGCAACTCTATGCGCTAGACACGGGACATTGTCAGCGTCCTGTGCTTCAGCCCCAGCTGCCACTAGCTCTGTGCCACCAAAGGTCCAGCAACAAGATCCAGGGCTTGGAGGGCAACATCATCATCCCAGGTAAGCTGAAGTGAGGAGTTACCGGGATGGGCAGCAAGAATGAGCCCCCTGGGCTGGGGATGTAACTCAGTGGTGCCGCCTGCTGCCTCAACTCCAAGGACCCGAGTTCCATCCCCAGTACTAAAAAAAAAAAAAAAAAAAAAAAAAAAAAAAAAAAAGAGCCCCTGGCTGTACCCTCTTTCCTGGCCTGTTTGCTGGTGCATCAGGGCCCCCTCGTCTGAGTGTGATAAGGGGTCGCAGGCACCACCAGAAATTGATGGCAGAGCTCTAGACATTAAAAAACCTGGCTTTTACCTGGCCCAGTGGCAGGGACCTGTAATCCCAGTACACTGGGAGGCTGAGGCAGGAGGGTCACAAGCTCAAATCAGGCCTGGCCAGCATAGCAAGACTTGTCTCAAAATAAAAAATAAATAAACAAAATAAAGCTCAGAATGTAGATCAGTGTGAAGGCCCTGGGTTCAATCCTTAGTACTGCAAACAATGAAACTAAACCTGGGTTTCCAAAAGAAAAACCAGTGGGGCTGGAGGTGCTGCTCAGTGGTGAGCACAGCATGTAGGAGGCGTGGGCTCCGTCCTCAGCACCGCACACACAGGCCTGAGTCCTGTGGTCAGACCTGCCCATAGGTGACCTTTGTAAGACTGCCACATTTAGAAAAAAATGCAAGCAGGATATGCCTTTAAATGAGAATGCCGGACAAATGATAACTTTTAGAAGTATGTCCCATGCAATTTTTATAATAACACATTATTTGTTATTCATCAAATTTGATTCCGTGTCTTGACTGTGGGCAAGCTCCTGGGCCTTCCTGGGCCCACACTTCTGTATGTGGGCCATGTCGGGCCCTGCCCGCTGGGCCCTCTTAGTCAGTGTTGAGAGGCTGTTGGTACCATCTGGCGGCACGTGTGCCTTGGCAGTCAGCACAGGTCAGGTTCGATCCCGTCCCCTGTCCCTAATTGTGCTGTAACTGCAGGAAAGTTATTTCACTTTTCTCTGTGCCTCAGTATTATCAGCTACAGAAGGAGATAATGATGGTTCTTACAAAGCCGTGGGACCAATAAATAAGGCGATCCGTGGAAATTGCTCAGCTTGATGCCTGGCTGGTAACAACAAGTAGTATCCTATGCCATTAATACTCATAAGGCCCTCCTCCCTCCCCCCATGAGCCATGTATCAGTCACTGTGTCATTGCTGGGACCAAATACCCAACACCCACAGCTTAGAGCAGGAGAGGTTTACTTTGGCTCATGTTACCATCTGTGGTCGGCTGGCTCCAAGGCAGCAAGTCATGGTGGAAGGGCCTGGCAGAGGAGCTGCTCAGGGCATGGAGGACAGGAAGCAGGGAAAGAAGGGAGGAGCCAGGAGGAAGACAAACTCTCCTGAGGTCACCACCCCTGTGACCCCCCCCTCCCAGTAACATTTGGCTATGGATTCTTCAGTGGATTAATCCACTTATGAGTACAGCACTGCCACAATCCAAAACCTCTACCGCTGAGCACATGAGGCTTTGGGGCCGTCTAGATCTAAAGTGTCACAAGCCTTCTCTGTCATGAAGCTTCTCCAGCCCATCCCATAGGCACTGATCCCCTCCCTCTGAATCTCTGCCATCCTTGCTGATTTCCCCAGAAGCTGAGCCACTGGTTATTTTTTCCCCTCGGTGTTGTTTGCCAACTGCCCCATTTCTGGACGTCTTGTCCCTCGGGTCAAACTCAACACCTCAGGCTTCTCCTCCAGCCTCTCTCTTAGGTGTTGGAAACCCTTTCAGGAGCTCTCTGTTGACTAACTTTTACATTCCATTTGTTATTCCACTTTCTGTAGCTGTGACAAAATACCTGAAGAAATCAACCTCAAAGGAAAAAGGTTTTTCTTGGCTCACAGCTTCAGAGTTTCCACCCGTGATAGCTTGGTGCTGTGACCTGTGGGCCTGTGGTGAAGAAGAAGAACATGGCGGGGAATGCAGAGCAACAGAAGTTTCTTATCTCGTGGCAAAGGGGACAAGAGCATGAGGGATAGTGGGACACAGAGTAGACAGGAGAGAGAGAGAGAGAGAGAGAGAGAGAGAGAGAGAGAGGAGCAGTGTCTCCCAAGGCCACATGCTCCCAATGCCCTAACTTCCTGTCACCAGGCCCCACCTCCTACAGTTTCCACCGCCTCCACACAGGTCACAGGCCCAAGACCAAGCCCTAATACATGCCCCTGGGGACATTTGCTGTCCAAGCCCTAACAGCCATTCTGCCCTTGAGGGCCAGGAGGGTCAACCCTGTGTAGCCAAGGAGCACATTCCTCAGATCCATCTTCCTGTGCATGTGGCACCTGGAGGGCCTGTCACCGCCCTGAGCTTGTGCTTAGGTTCTGTGTGGTCTCCTTCTCCCAGGAATCCTTTTCTAGACTCCTGCTGAGGAGACGGGGACTCCGACATTATGGAGTTGTTCAACACAGGGCCGTGGGATCAATCGACAGAAATGCATCGGAAGTGTTCCCTGACTCAACTGTGTGCCTCGATGTGTCCCAGACAGGATCAGAGCAGTGAAATACACCAGGGAGTCTCAAAATTGCCAGACTGTTAGCATTTAAAACAAGAAATACCACGATGGTTGGCCTGGAGACGTAGCTCAGTTGTAGGGCACTCGTCTGCCGACCCAGATGAGGCCATGGGTTCAATGTCTAGTGTGGCAAGAGAAGAAAGAAGGAAGGAAGAGAAAAAGCAACAAAGAGGGAGAGGGAAGGAGGAAGATTTATGCAAAGTACAGAGTAGTTTAAAACTGCCTCCAGGTTGAGGCGTAAATACCATTTTAATATTCTTTTGCTTCTGGACAGTAAACAAAAGCACTCTGCAATGACTTGATGTTCTTCCAGGTGGCTGCGTAAGTGGCTATCGCTGAGCAAACTTGTCAGAGGGCGTTCCTAACAGCACGGTGCCATGTCCTGACAAGGCAGTGGATGGGGAGCTGATTTCCCAGCTCAGTGGTAGTGTGGGAACGGATTCCCAAACTCACCTGGCTGCTAGAGAAGGAAAAGTAGAAATCACAAAACCTGGCATGTTGGGGCCAGAGGGAAGCGGAGAGCCAGGCCAGCTTAGGAGCTCATTATGGGAAGGGCCTTGGTGTTCCAGAGGGCTGGCCGGGGCCGCTGTGCTGAACAGCAAGGCCTCAGAAAATATCTGATTACTGGGATGTTTCTTAAAAAAAATTATTTTTGAAAATAGTGTCCTGCTATGTAGCCCTGGCTGGCCTCAAACTCATGGTGATCCTCCTGCCTCAGCCTCTGGAGTGCTGGGATCACAGGCCACCGCCACCACACCCAACAGAAAAAGCCACATTTGGAAACCAGCACACAGGCACTGAGAGTTGAGACACCCCTCTTTCTCAACTCCACAGAGACAGGAAACGGCTGCATGGTCACCTGGGGCTAGAAGGCAGCTGCTTACTGACACAGGGTTTCATTTTGGATGAGGACAGGGCTCTGAAATCACCCATAAGGATGAGCAACTGCGTGAATGTACCCGGTGCCACCACTGTCCACTCCACATGGTTGACACGTGTGGGGTGCAGATTCCATCTTTTCCTGCCCCAGGGATGGACTAGGGCCACCACCAGCTGCAGCCAGCCCGAGTTATGGCTTAAGGAACACCTGCATTGACGGGTCTTCCACTGCCTTTGAAGCTGTCAGCAGAGTTTCAGTCTCTGTCAGCTTATTTGACCAGGCGTTGAGCTCTCGACGATCTTCCCGCCAGCCTCGGAGGGCTGAGACCTCAGCTGTGCGCCACGTTTGACTTGGCACTGGCTCCTTTTAAGGAGGACTGTCCTCCTCCCAAAATTGGGGATACACTGAGCTAATTTCCTTGAAGTGGCTTTTCACCTTCAGGAAAAGGAAATAGGAAGTGAAACCTTTTTCCATAGAGCCCGTTAATACCATTTTAATGTATTTAAATTTCATGCATACTTATATTTCAAAAGATTAAACAGATCTCAATAATAAATAGATTTAGAGTGATTAATGCTCAGCAGTCTATAGGTATTTCGAGACAAAAGTCTTTCAGAGGACAGAGTATTTCTGATTCACCAAACTTTTTTTTTGGTTCTTGGTTTTTGAAACAAGGTCTCGCTATGTCGTTCGGGCCGGCCTTCAACTCACAGCTATCCTCCTGCTTCAGCCTCCTGAGTGCTGAGATCATAGGCGTGTACCACTACACCCCGCTAATCCATCAAGTTTACCAGTGAGATAGGGCTGGGGATTTAGCTCAGTGGTTCTGCTGTCTGCCTTGAAAGCTCAAGGTCCCAAGTTCAATCCCCGGTACCAAAAAAAAAACAAAACGGCAAACAAACAGTGAGATAGGAGCTGTGAAATGACCTATCCTTGGTCCTCTTCGGAGTGAAGGGAGCAGAAGTTAGGGAGATCCGACGGGTCTCCCTTTTCAGTTATACTGGAAAGGGGCTGCAAATGCCCCAGGCCGGCTGGCTCGTCTATTCTGGAAGAAAACACAGCACAGCCGGGCAGGCGCCAGCTGCTCCCGCTGGAAGCCACACACAGCCGGCCCTGACCAGCAGCCCCAGGCCCTGCGCAGCTCCTCAGAAACTCCAGGGGAGGCCGGGAGAGGACAGGGCTGCTGTGGCCCTGGGGCCAGAGCCTCGCTCACCAGAGCAGACACAAAAGTGCTGAGCGCTGGGGAGACCCAGGGACTCTGTCCTGGAGCGAGCCACATTTGTCCCGTGGCATCTTTTACCCTCTGGCTAAGAAAAAGTAAAAGACTGGCAGGAAGGAACGGGCTAGGATAGAAGTTGGTTCTGAAAGTGCAGTCCATGGGTCGGCAGCCATGGCACTGCCCTGAAACTTATTGAAAATGCAGAATCTATGCAGTTGTGGTGGCCCATGCACCTGTAATCCCAGCTCGGTTGGGAGGCTGAGGCAGGAGGATCGCAAACTCAAATTTGAGCCCCAGCCTGGGCGATTTAGTGACTCAGAAAGACTCTGTCTCAAAATAATAAAAATATGGTGGCACATA